TTGGTGACGAGTATTTGCTAGCTTTATAATAGAGTACTCATGACAAAATCATAAAAAACTTGGATGGAGATTTTTTTATTTGTCATAAAACTAAACTCAAACAACGTTTATAACGATGCTAATTAAAATTTCCTGCTTGCTTTTCCAACACTCCATTTGCATCATGCTGAAGGAGAAAGTTATGCATCATCCTTCGTACCAATCCTTCCTTCTCCAACCGTCAACCCTATTTTGCTGCAACCAAATCATCTTGCAACAGATGGATTCATAAGATGTCAAATCCCACCATTCCGTGTTGCAGTGGGAAGAGAAGTTTCCACGGAATTAACGAGAAGAGAAAGGTCGAATAGTGGAGAGGTTTGACTTCTCGTCCGTGTCTTTAGCTTCGGTCGGCATTTGACTTTGGCGATGACCACAACGACGGGTATCGATTTGCTGTTTGATTTAAATCAGGGTTCAGCTTTTCTTGCGAGAGGAGCTTCGTTTTGGTGCTCGGTCTCGCTGACTGTGTGGTGAGAAATGCTGTTTACTGTTTGGGATGATTAGCTGATCCTGCGCTTTCTGTATATATGTTTACGTGTAGATTGCCACTGCTTTCCAGACCGCAACTCATGGCGACTCTTCCGTGGACGCCGGCGACCGCGGCGGTGCACCAGTACCTGACGGCCGCGCTCTCCCACCGCGGAGCGGCTGCGCTTCCATACACTGAGGAAGCCAGGTGGACGATCCACCAGCATCTCGCAGCCCTGTCGCACGCGTTCCCCACCCTCCGACCCACCGCCGGCCACTTCACTCACAACGACGGCCGTGGCGCCACCCTCCTCCGCGCCGAGGGCACCATCCCCCTCGCAACGTCCTCCTCCGCCTGTCTCTCGATTTCCATCTGGCTCCTCGAGGCCTACCCCAACCTGCCGCCGGCCGTGTTCCTCTCGTTCCCTCCGGGCACGGCCGTCAAGCCGCGCCATCCCCTCGTCGACCCCTCCGGCTCCGTTTCCGTCCCTTATCTCCGGTCCTGGATCTTCCCTTACTACAACCTCGTCGACCTCGTTCGGTCTCTCGGTCAGCTCTTCAGCCAAGACCCGCCCTTCGCCATCTCCCCGAGCGCCATCCACGACGCCAAGGCCAGAGAGACCGCCAAGGTCGTGGAAGCAGTGCAACGGCACCTGGCGGCGGCAGGGAAGAGCCACACGGCGGAGATGGAGGCTCTACTCGACACGCAGACGCAGCTCAAACGGAGGAAAGCGGAGATCGCCCGCGGGTTGACAAGATTGGAGGAGGAGAAGGAGCTGCTGGAACAGCAGCTCCAGATGCTGATCATGAACTGCGACGTGATGGAGAGTTGGGTGGCGAAGAACCACAGGAGGCCGACAGCGAGCTTGGACGGCGTGTTCGAGCCGTCGAACGCTCACTCGAGGCCGGCGATGGAGTGCGTGGCCGCGGACATGGCGGCGGAGGACGTGATGTATGCGTTGGATGAGGCGTTGAGGGAGGGATGTGTTCCTCTTGATGTTTACTTGAAGAGTGTGAGAACCACGTCGAGGGAGCAGTTCTTCCACCGAGCCATCTCCGCGAAGCTTGCTCCACCTCAGTTTGAGCTCGAGAATTAATGGAGTCAATTGTGTGATGTACGTATGATCACATGAATTCTTCCCTCCTTTTTTGTTCTCATTAATAAGGGCTTTGATTCCACTCATATATACATGTAGATATGAAGGATTATATATATATATATGAACATTGATGTTGATAATGGATATGCAGATGCTTTCCGATACCATATACAGACTTGAATGAGGTGTTCCATTTGGTTGCTTGTGTCTCTTTTGATAGATATGTTGTGATCATTTGCATGTTTCAGGTTATTATAGTTTTCTCTTTTCATGGCAATTTATTTAAGTTTTAATTCAATTACCTATTCTTTTATGTTTTTAATCAGTGTCAATTTATCCAGAAGCTTATGCGAATAGATGATATATGATTTATATTGTTAGAAGTTACTTTAGTCCTATTTTTAAGAGTGTAAACATGCATGATAGAAGTTGTTTCTAAATATTAGGAAAAATAACCAAAAACATACACCCACAATTCCTTGGATTGTCATACAATAATGAGAACCCCAGTAACATAGTAAACAGTCAAGATCTGTTCTTACCAATTGGAATACAGAACCAATGATTGACCAACAAAATTAGATCTCTACCACAGCTTGGTGTATGAAGAGCAGAAGGCTGAATTGGCATGTGAGTTGGTGTGTCCTCATCGTCAGCTTCAACCGGCAGAAACAAGTCGGTGTCAGCCTTGTTTTGTTGCACTGCATCTATGCGGATGGGGATGCGTCCATGGAGTGTGTACATGGGAGTGACAGGCACTTGGTAGTCTCCAATGGAGGACCATCAGGTGTACCTGATGAAAACATTTTTTTGCCAGCTCAATGGAGTACCGCTGAGAGTAGAGCTGCACACACACAGATCCAACACAAGGATTCATTAGAATTATACTCAGGAGTGAAAACAAAGAGCTAAGAATGGTTGTGAAACTAATTCATGAAGGTTTGAGATAAATGCAACTGAGTTTGTGTTACTACCTATCAACATGACTTTATATACTGTGACAATCACATTCAATAATTAGTTTTGATTGCCGACTCATGAAATTTAACTTGACCGACGTAAAAAGAAAAAAAATTCGACTAATCAATAGAAAATACTCATATTTGATATTTTATTTCAGTTCGAGAATTAAAAAATTAATCGTATTTCTTATCTCAATCTCCTATCTTATAAATTTTAATTTATTGTAGGTAAAAAAGTTGCATAAGAAATTCAAATGGTTAGATAAACTTAGTAAATTCAGAAATGAAAGCATACATAAAAAGTTGGTTTTTGAGTACTATTAGTACTGAGGTGGTATATGAGTCAGCAGCACCTCAGAGTTCTAATTAGCCAAAAATATTAATCAAACCATGATGAGATAAAATCAATCCATTTTTTTTTTCCTTTTATACTATTTATTTTCATAATCGAATAAAAGGATTATTTTCTTTGATGATTAGAATTAGATTTTCCTTTCATTGCATCCAAATTCACAATATTCTCATTAAGGATTGTTGCTATGGTGCATGGCACTGACAAAGACATTATATATGTTATCTTTTATCCCCAAAATACTAATGAATTCCAAATAAAAAAAGGTCATATTAATTAATTTAATGAGTTCCAAATCAAAGTCTATCTACTTTTAAGATGGAAGCGAAAAAAAGAACAAAAAAAGGGGAGCCAAAAAAGCAAGAAAAAGGATCCCTGAATCTGCTCCTTTTATGTGAAAGCTGATGCAGTGCTCTCCCACCACAAAAGAGGCTGATGAAGCCTGAAAGAGGGGGCTTTTTTAAGGCTTTCTTCAAGCTCACAACAAGCAGCCCATGACCGCTGCTTTTTGAAGCTTAAACCCCGGTTTCGAGGGTGGGAGAGGCAAAGTTAAACAGGGCAATAATAATGTAGCAGCCCCTCCTCGCTTTGTCTCTTCCTCCTTGTTCTTTCCTCCTCTTGCTCTGGACTCACTGCTTACCGCCCCCCCACCCCCACAGCTGCCCACAAAAGCCAAACCGAGCTCATCATGGGATCCAGTCTCTTCCCCTCACCACTAGTGTAGTGTGGCAGGGGGAAGGATCACATCCTCCACGCCTCGCACCTTCTTGCCTCGCCCCTGCTCCCAAAGATCCTGTCTTGCCTTGAGTTTTCGGCCAAGGGCAACATAACAAGGTATGCCTTTTCCATCTCTTTTCTCGATGGCATGCGAATTATCCATGTATGTGGAGAGGGTAGCTGACCCGTGTTTCCTTCCTCCTCGCTCGTATGCTCGTTTGCAGTGGGAGGAAGAGGGCAAATCGAAATCTTGGGCGTTTCCGTTCTCGCATCCATGGAGACCGCATCTCCATGTGCATCTTCTGGGTCTGCCAGCCATCTGGAGCTATCAAGCTCGGATGACCTCCCCGTTCAACAGAGCCTGCTCTTGTCAGACGGTCTCGAGGTACTACTATAAACCCCATTGCTTCCTTCTCTTATGTGCCCCAGAGGGAGCTCAGTTCTAAAGCTCTCGCTTTTTGATTTAGGGAACAGTGTAGATACGATGGGATAGTAGTGGATCTTTGGAACATGTATTGTTGTGGACAGTTAGTTAGGTTTTTGGGTATTCTGTGGCTTGATTGTTGGTTCAATCTTGCTACTGTATTGCAAATATTGGTCTTGCAAAACTAGAATCTTTGTTCTGCAGATTTTGGTTATATTATGGGGTCTGTTTTCCTTTTCGTTTCACTCCTCCAACCCAACAACGTGGCTTCATATATGAGTGTCATTTTTATAAAAATAAGGACTTTTTTTTTTTTCTTTCCAATTTTACCTTGTTTTCTGTCTATTAATAATCATTTTCTCAACTTCATAATCAGAATTAGTATATGGACAAGTGTGCTAGCACCATCTATACCTAATATCTCACTTTCATGCTAAACCTCGCTTGCCATGCTAACCAAATGAGGAAATCTTAGAGCATTGTTTCATTCTACAGGAGTTGATAATTTTGAATTATATAATGAAAAATGTTATGTAGATTATTGGAGTCAGCCAAAGTTTAACAGCTATTATCGTTAGTTTTAGTTTGACTTAATTCTTTGAAACATGTTCGACTCCCACAGACAACTACAGTGACTGATTTCAGAACCATTCTAGTCTTGAAGAGATTAACATGCTCCCGATGACCTTGATATTTAACTTGCCTCTTGATTTTAGGCTTTGAGGAATATGCGGTCGCAGTTATACTCGGCAGCAGAATATTTTGAGCTATCTTACATCAACGACGATCGGAAAGAAACGTATGTTTGGTTCTACCTCATATCCTAATTTTCTTTGATAATTGGGATTTGAAATGTTAGAACTTTTCCTGATCTGAAGCTACCGTGATTGGTCTAATGCAGAGTGATGAGGACTCTGAAAGATTATGCTGTTGAGGCAGTTGTTAATGCTGTGGATCATTTAGGTTCAGTGTCACATAAGGTAAACAATCTTCTCAATGAAGAGGTTGATGAGGTCTCTGTAGCAGAGTCTGAAGTATCTTGCATTGAGCAGGTATCATTCGGTCGATTGTTTTCTTTTACCTTTTTTGTTAATGTAGTAGTGCATCATCTTACCAGCCTTCTATCTTCTCACCTTCAGAGACTTCGTACATGCCAAGCATGTATTGACCAGGAAGGTCTTTCTCAACAGTCCCTTTTGATCAGACCTCCAAAGTATCACAAGCGCTACATTCTACAAGGCAAATAATGTTTTCATTTCCATCTATCTATATATGTGTTGTTTACTCTGTTTGATCGTGAAACATTCCTCATGGCCAGGTTTCTGGAGCTTCAATTAGATAACTGATAATACTGCACCTTGTTCTCTCTTGTCATTAGATGAATCCATGGTCGATTGTGACAGACAAGCCAAGCTAATGTACGAAGAACTTCATCCACCTACGGAGAACGGCAAACTACAGCAGCAGCAGAGCGGTAACATCATCTTTATACCTTGTATCATATAAAATGTGGCTGAGAAAAATATAGTGACATATTTATATTTCTGCAAGCTTGTTCAGCAACAAGGTGTAGGCCATCTCCAAACAGGTATGCCGTTCTCCAGTCCATTTAATGGTGCTGAAATCTTGAATCTAAATCCAGATTGGCCAAGATTAAAGACAATGAGTTGGTACTGCATGCAGGAATGCTCGTTCATCATCCCCTTCCCCCTGTCCTCCTTTAGTAAGAGAACACTCTTCATCACCTTCTCACAACTCACAGCCGGCTTCACCTTTACCACAACTAGAGAAGATCTCTTCAAAAGGTGCTGTGAAGTTGAATTGGCTAACACCTTCTCTTGATTATGATTTGTACAATTACATGAGATTAAGTTGAGATTCATATGATTCATATTTTGCTCTTTTCAATGCAGGAAGAAGAGATAATTCACCACTTCGAGCTTCTAATCCACTTACACGAGCAAGATCAGCAGCAAATAGACCGCCTATTCCTAACTCATCAAAGCAGGTTGATCGATTTGATTCCTTTTTCTGTATTTTCTTTGTTGTAGATGATTCTATGTGAGATGAAAGTAATTTCACAAACGATGAGCATTTTCTACATTCATTGCACAACTACCACAAAATTTAAAATGGTACAGAAACCTAGATTGTGCATATTATGTTTCCAGAGATGCCACAGTCTATCTTACTAGCATGAATATGTGGTGGTCTTTCTTCTGATAATTTATCATTACTCTTTTGTTTTTCGTTGCAGTATCTTCTGGAGTCCCAAAATTCACTACCAAATTGCTTGCATGATGAACGGTACAATCGCAAAGACACCGAGCAAAATCCAACCAAGAAGAAAGGGTTCCTCAAGTCACTGCTCATGCGGAATAGGTCATGGACTGATGAATCACTGTACAGCTACTTGGATGAATATTAAGGAAGCTAATTGAAGTATAAAAATAGATGATGACAATAAGCCATCAGCAAGCAATTCCTTCAATTTTGCTAATTCAAAAAGCTTTGTTATATATGTATTGTTCTGTTATGGACGGATGCATCTTTGTGCAAGGCAAGTGATGTGTTGCTAAAATCTGGTCCCAATTGTAATCCAATATCTCAGCTGCCTGCTTTCATTCAGATTCAGCAGTCTAAATGGGCGCTGTTGATACATGGACAAGCGAAGTGCCAATTTGCTTGCTGCCTAATTGTTGGATGTGGGAAATGCTTTTGTGGCAAGTGCATTCATGGATTATAATTTCCTTGATCGACTATTCATGATTCCAAGAAAATTGTTATTGGGACAGATGATATATTTGTGGGGATGCACACATCGAATAATAATAGATATTAAGAATTGAAATATTACTGGTGAAAATATTCTTTCTCACATCTCATAATTGCTTAAAATTTATTTTTCGGGCATGATTAGCTACAAAATCCAATTTTGCTTGTTTGATGAAATGATTTTAGTAGTTGCTTAAAATCTTATATTAATTTTATTTTTTTTTTAAAAAATATGCTTAAACTAAGGGAATTTTAGAAGCACTTTTATGATTGATTAATAATGATTAGTGCTAGTTTCTATATATTTCAATCTAATCTATAAAAAAATTAAAATATATGAGGTAAAAAATATATTTATACAAAGATAAGGAAGAATCGAGTACACAAGTCATGAATACAAAATAACTTAAAGATGATGATTGGATAGATATTCTCTTTAGTCATTAGTAAAAAAAAATTACAAGAGAACTAATAGTAAAATATTTGGATTCATATAAAATAAATATCAAAGTTGTGAATATCGAGAAATCAAGTGAAAGATTATGATTTATTTGAATAAATCTTCTCTTTAATAAATAACAAAAAGAAAGGATCAGATAATCAATTGTAAAAGGTTTCAATTCATACAAAATAAATCTAGTCATAAATACTAAGAAGTGAAAAGATCATGATTTGTTTGGATAAATTTTTTTTTAGTAAAACGAAAGAATTATACGAGAATAAATAGTAAAAAAATCTTTAATCATGCATTTGAAAAATTCAATATGCCTAATTCTCTTATAATAAAATCAAATTATTCCTCGCTTAGTGGTTTAGTAAAAATATCTAATAACTGATATTTCGTGTCAATAAAATCTAAAGATATATCATGAATGTTAACATAATTTCTAATAAAATGATGTCTAATATCAATGTGCTTAGTCCTACAGTATTGAATAGGATTATTTATCAAACAAATTACACTAGTATTATCACATTTTATATGGATGTTTTTACGGCAAAGTCCATAATCTTCTAAAGTATTCTTCATCCAAATTATATGCGCATAACATACACTAACCGCAACATATTCAGCTTCAGTTATAGATAGTGCGATAGAGTTTTGTTTCTCGGATTACCAAGAAATAAGTGCATGACCTAGGAATTAACAAGTTTTAGAGGTAAATTTTCTATCTATTCTACATCCTCCAAAGTCAACATCAACATAAGCAATGAAATCATAATTTTTAGATTTAGGATACCATAATACCATATTAGGAGTTTCTTTTAATTATCTAAATTTTTTTTTAACTACTTTATAATGAGATTATTTATGATTGAATTAGAATCTTGCACGAAACCCAATACTAAATATTATATAAGGTCTGATTTTAGTAAGGTATAATAAATTACTTAGTCTTTTGATCAAAATATTTTTTTTTATTGTCCATATCTAATTTAGTAGAAATGCTCATTGGTATTTTAATAGCCTTAGCACTATCCATGTAAAACCATTTTCATCGATCCAAAATATATTTGGTTTGATTAATGAAAATTTTATTATTTAATTATTAATTAATAATCCTAAGAAAACTATTAATTCACACATCAAACTTATTTCAAATTCTTAGCTCATACTCTTAACAAACTATTTACATAAAGATTAATTTATAGAATAAAAAATAATATCATCAACATAAATTTAAATTATAAAAAATTTATTAAAATATTTAATATATAATATGGTGTCGACTTTATCGTTTGAAAAATTATTTTGAATAAAAAAAGAGCTAAGTCTCTTATATCAAGCCCTAGGGGCTTGCTTCAACCTATAGAGTGCCTTAGATAATTTATAAATATAATTTGAGAAAAGATCATTTTTAAATCTGGATGGTTGCTCTATATAAACTTCTTTAAAAATAAAATCATGAAGAAAAATATTTTTAACATCCATTTGAAATAATTTAAAAATTTTAAAAATGTATAGGTAAGGAGTATCTATATGGCTTCAAGTTTATCCAAAAGTGCAAAGGTTTCCTAATAGTGTATATCTTCGTCTTGGTTGAAACACTGGTCTACTAATCTAACCTTATTTCGAACCACAACACATTGTTCATTTTGATTATTCCTAAAAGTCCATTTAGTACTAATTATAAGATCATCACTAGGTCCAGAAATAAGAATCAAACTTTATTTTTTTTAAAATTAATTTAGTTCTTTGTGCATTGTCAAGACTCACGAGTCATCTTAAAGAGCATCATCAATGTATTTAGGCTCAATTTGAGATAAAAAAAGTAGTATTTGCACAAATATTTTTTTGACGAAGAATGAGTTTGAACACTTATTTGTTGGAAAACCTTAGAAAGGCATCACATGCACAGTAGAAGAATAGAGAACAAAACTAGTTTCCCAAAGAATAATATTTAGTCGTCGTGCGATGGTTGGTCACAAAAAAACTACAAAACCGAAAAACCACGTAATAGTGTGTGATGTCCTAGGGGAGATTGTATATCCCCAAAAACATAGATCCAAATACATAGATGAAGGAGGTTAGATTTATTGAATCTTAGATTTTGATGATGAAATCAACAAATGAGTTTATGATCTAATGAGTGTTTGAGAAAAGTGATCCAGGACTAACTTCGATCATGAAAAGATAAATCGATTTAAGTAGGAGAATCAAATGTTAGGCCAGAGTGGATCATATCAGAGATCGAGCATCGGGCCAGAAAAATTAGGTATTGTGCTAAGATCGGATGTTGTAGGAGGTCAACGTGCCAATGGATCGGGCAATACATTGAAGGAAAGGACGATGCGTTGGAAGTTCGGATGAAGTGCCGGATGAACTAATGACATGCTAGAAAACGGAGGCTTCATGATTTATAGTTCTTCTCTTGATCAAAGTAGGCTAGAGTTTAATTGAGTTGGTTTTGGGTATAACCATGCCAACTTGGTTAGGGGCCTATTAGGCCTAAATCAGGACTGAATTGATCCTATTAGAAGGCCAATTTAGTAACCTAAAGTTGAGCCAAGCGGTGGAATCACCTATGAGCTAGAAAGTATGAAATGTACTTTTTTAAAAAACTTGACGGTGGTACTACTAGGATCAGCGGTGGTACCGCCTAGTGTCAAGCGATGGTATCAGTCAGACTAGTGGTGGTACTACTAAGACATAGTCTCCCAGATTATGTCAAACGATGGTGCTGCCCAAGCAAGCAGTGGCACCACCAGTGCTTAGGGTGGCAGGTGGTGGTACCACTCAACACTGGTGGTAGTATCGCCAGTATCCCGAAAACTCGGGTATAAGACTTTTTGGGTCTATTTTTTAAGCCACTTAGGGCCTATAAATACCTCACTCATTCTTGCTTAAGATAGCAAAAAAAGAATATAAAAAAATTATGATTCTAAGTGTGTAAACTCTGTTGAAAGTGTTGAGTTCCTTCCTTCTTAAGCTTATAAGCAATTCCAAGGGAGGTATGAGGATTACTTGTAAAAGAGAGTTATAAAAGTTCTCTCCTAAGCCTGTGAGAAGGAGAAAAGAGTTATAATAAGGGTAGTTTGTTAGGACCGTTTCGACACTAAGAGGGGGGGAGGGGGGTGTGAATTAATGCTTTCGTAAAAATGTCGAGTATTTAGAAAAATCATTTCGATAAAATCGTATTGAGGACACTTAGCATTCCTCTTCTTGAGGTATAGTGGTTCGGTCATCAGTTTACATTTCCTCACTTACCTTAGATTTATTGTTGCTTACTCATTTACTTTACTTGTAACTATTAGGATCAAGAGCGGTACTAAAAGGGGAGGGGGGGGGGGTGAATTAGTGCAGTGGAGAAAATCATCGTTCTGTAAAATATTTCATTCGTCAAAAATCGATTTCGGAAAGTGCTTTACTTTAGAATGAAAGAACTAGCAATTATCTAAGAAAGTAATAACAGTAATGAAAAGTAGAATGGAAATGAGCACACCAGAATTTATAGTGGTTCGGTCGTTGTGACCTACATCCACTTCTGATTCCTCCTCCATCGAAGTCACCGGTGTCCACTAATGGTCTTCCTTTAATAGGCGAAGACCAACCACCTTTTTACAACGGTTTCTCCTTTTCATGGGTTTAGAAGATAACCCTTAAAAGCCTCACACCTCTCTTGAATGATCTCAATACTTAGAAAGGGAGGAGGAGGACTCTTTTCACTTTTATAACACTTTTAACACCCTAAGAACTCAAGATTTTTTTTTTTCACACTTTCGTGCCCTTTTATGCAGAAAATGGTGGGGGTATTTATAGGCCATAGCTTCAAAATTGGAGCAAAAAAATATCTCATCCTGGATTTTCGGGGTACAGGCAGTACCACCGCCTAACACTCTAACACTGGGTGGTACCACTACCCAGTCTGGGTGGTACCAGCGCCTGATAGAGCTCGGAGACCGGGCTCTAGCGGTACCACCGCTTGACAGGGGTGGTACCACCACTAGCAACATTAACTGTCGGCGGCACCACCACCCAGACCACCTGGAAGACTGAGTCACTAGGTGGTGCCACCGCTGGTCGTGACTTCAGGTGCTGAATGAGCTATTTCAACCAGCCCAATTCAACCCTGTTAACGGCCCAATTGACCCCTAATTGAGTGAGTGAGATTACCTCCTAATCCTAACTCAACTTAATGTCTAACTATAATAATTAATACAGTTAACAAATCATTCTTGTTCTAGTATGTCAATTGTTCTTCCGACGAGTTTCCTACGATCTTTCGGCGAACTTCCGACGATC